TTTTTTGGTTTTTCTCCGGTACCGGGAACTGAACTCACGACCTTGCGCTTGCCAGGCAGGCGCTTTTGCCGCTGAGCTAAATCCCCAGCCCCATGTTTGCTTTTTTAGTACTCATTTGCAGGATGAATTGGAGCTGGTCCAGTGATTGCCTGGCATGGGTGAGGCCCAGGGTATCATCTCTCACCCTGCAAAAAAGGGGGAGATTGTTGCTTGGCCTGGGGATGTACTTTGGTGGTAGTGCTTGCTTGATGTGTACAAGGCAGGTAGTTAGCACCTTGCCTGGAACAGGGCATTCCCTCCAGCTTTAGTATTTTGCTCCTGTTTGGTTCCAGAAAATGTTACAGAATGGCTGCATTTAGGTACAATTTTTAAAAAAGACCTTTTCACATTTATGTAACGTTAGAAAGGAGATTTTGGCTGAAGGGGGGTGGGCTTAAAAAGTTGGATATTAGTGAAGAGCATAACTTGATATTTGCAAATTTTTCAATCAGATTTTATTGGTACATTTTAGATGTACATAATGATATTTATCTCATAGAGCATAATTTGAATTGTTTGCTCATTTTTTGATTGTGTGAAATAACTTAAGAACGCAGATTTGAAAGACCACAAGTTTAAGGAGGCAAGATGAGCAACTAATTTAGAAGCAGGTCTCTAGGATATTTCCTTCATCTAGCTAAAAAATTCTGACAGCTATCGCTCGCAGAGCTTTAAGTAGCATTGAACCTAACATAGTCTTGGCTTTTTGAGAGAAGATCTTCCTGTGCAGTTCATGTTGGCCTTGAACTCTGTATAGCACAGGCTGGCCTCAAATTTGGAGCAGTCTTCCTGCCTCAGCCTCACAAGTACTGGGATTACAGGCGTATACCACCACCCCTGGCTTCATCATATTTTTGTTTTGTTTTTTGTTTTTCTTCCGGTACCAGGAATCGAACTCATGACCTTGTGCTTGCCAGGCAGGCGCTTTGCCACTGAGCTAAATCCCCAGCCCCTTCGTCATATTTTTTAAGGAAGTGATTTTCTTTCTTTTTTTTTTGTTTTTTTTTCTGGTACCGGGAACCGAGCTCACGACCTTGCGCTTGCCAGGCAGGCGCTTTTGCCGCTGAGCTAAATCCCCAGCCCCAAGGAAGTGATTTTCTGATTTGACTTCTTTTCATAGGCCAAAACTACGAAGAAGATAGTGCTGAGGCTTGAGTGTGTTGAGCCCAATTGCAGGTCTAAGAGAATGTTGGCTATTAAGAGATGCAAGCATTTTGAACTGGGAGGAGATAAGAAAAGAAAGGTACAAGTCGTTTCTTACACCTTTATTATATTTGGAGAGGTGAACATTTCTGCTCATAGTGGGTGGTATAGAGATTTGAGGGGGTTCTCAAAAAACTCCATCTGTAGCTGAAGAGTCAGGTTGCATATCCTTTATCTGAAATGTTTGGCAATAGTCTTGACTCAAACCCCAGAACTTTTTGAGTGTCAACATAAGCATCACGTTGATATTCAAAAAGTTTTAGCAGGAAAGGAAGAGAAAAGAGATTGCCCTAATTCAGCATGATGTTCTGCTTATGAAATATAAAACTCAACTTTTTTGTTTCTTTGTTACAGGGCCAAGTGATCCAGTTTTAACATTCATGTTTTGTTTTAGTATCAAGACAATAAAATCTTGCCATGTTCACTTCACTGGTTGTATTTTGTCTTTTGGGAAGGAATAGGCTAGAGCCATCAGCAAAATTTCCCATGGGAAATTTACCTTCGAGGTACTTAGTATTATACTTAGTATTTCTTGATTGAATTTGAGTGGTTGAGCTCACATCAAATGTTGGGATTATCTAATGTGACACTTTAAGCCCTTGGGCTGTCACGGGATCCTGGCTGCTGTTAAAAAGAAGTCAGTTGGTTATGTTACGACACATTTCAGAATAATGGGGACAGGTCAGTAATAGAGCCATAGTGACTAAAGTATATCAGGAATTAAGTAACCTACTGGTATTTAAGACCTTTGATAAGGAATTTTGGCTGTGTTTTCCAGGCACCAACACATTATAATATATATTATGTAGTATGTCTCCAGACTTTACATAGTCCCTCCCATTTTTAAACTGGAACATAGAGCTTCCAGTGTGGAGTGCCCCAAGGAATGAATATTCATTACATGTTCTTATACTTCATTCTGATACTGAGCTCTTTGTATTTCAGCAGCAAAATCATGTAGGGTAAAACAAATATGCTGTATACATTTTCATAACTGGAGGTGCACCTCAACGAGGTAGAGCAGGTTTCCAAATTTGTGTATCTAAGGACAAGTACAGGTTTAACGACTTTTTTTCTGAGACACATACAGTCCAGGCTGGCCATAAACTGAGTAATCCTACTTCTTCAGTCTCCCTAGTGGTGGAATTGCAGGCATGTGCCACCACACCTGGCTTAGGTTTAGTAATTTTATTACAACTTTATGAACTAAGTACATACTAGTCTTCAAATTTTTGTAAAAGTAAAGACTAGTAATTACCTAATGGGTAAAATTATTCCAACATGGCACTTTTGTGTTTTAGATGGGCCTTATGGCTGGGTGTGGCGGCTCATGCCTGTAATCTCAGCACTTGGGAGGCTGAGATAGGGAGATTGCTGTGAGTTTGAGGCCAGCCTGCACTACAAAGTGAGACCCTCTCTCAAAAAAAGTTAGACTAGATAGGTCTTTTGGTACTCTTGTGTACATTCAAGACGGGTGAGGTACATACTTTTTAAATATTTTCTGCTCATGCAGGAGAACAGTGGTTATACATTTGTTCTCAGGAAAAATACAGAATTACAAGTGTCTTGATTACATGGTAGCATATGCCTGCAATCCCAGCACTGGGTGGCTGAGGCAGGAGGTCATAAACTTGAATCCAGCCAGAGTAATTCAGTGAGGGTCAACCTAAAAAAAAAAAAAGCTGGGCATATACCTCACTGTGAAGGCCCTGGGTTCAGTCACCAGTACTAAAAAAAGTTTAAATTCCCTTTAAATTGTCTGTGTCTGAATACCCTAGTGTGAAAAATCACTGCCTCAGGTGAGGTAAGACAGTTCATTTTAAAGGTGACCTGGTAGGTTTTGTATCTTAGGTTATAATGTATCTAGTTACTCTTGCTGAGAGTAAGTAGTCACTTGTTACACAGTTTATTGTTTTTGTTTTTCTCAGGTACCGGGAACTGAACTCACGACCTTGCGCTTGCCAGGCAGGCGCTTTTGCCACTGAGCTAAATCCCCAGCCCTTGTTACACAGTTTACAACCGGGAGTTTAACAGGGTTATTCTCACCTAGCAACTTTTTTGCCCTTCAGCCAGGGAAACTTCATTTTCTCTGTGCATTAATATTGTAAATAACCACCCAAGTACCTCATTAGGCAGCAGTTCAGTGGTTAAGAGCTCGGGTTTAAATCCTGGCTGCAATTTACGAGTAAACACCTGCTTTGAAGGGTTACTGTTGAGGGTTAAAATGAATCAGTAATATCTTGCCCATACATTACAGTGCTTGGCACAGAAAATACCCAATAAATTAGCTATCATTTCTTAGAACATTAGTTTCAAAGGCCTTTTCCAAACTGTTGTCCTTGTACCATTAGAAGTAGTTGTTGTTTTGTTGAGACAGGGTCTCACTATATAGTGCAGGCTGGCCTTGAACTCTCAGCAATTCTACCTCAGTCTCCCCAGTGCTAGGATTACAGGTGTGTGCCACCATACCCCATTTAGAAGTAGTTTTATTTTATTTTATTTTTTTGTCTTTTTGAGACAGGGTCTCATTATGCAGTTCAGGCTGGCCTTGAGCTCACTTGTACCCCAGGCTGGTCTTGAATTTGCAGCAATCCTGCCTCAGTGTCCTGAGTATAGAAGTAGTTTTTAAAACTTTCAGTTTGGGACTTGGGAGTGTAGCTTTGTGGTAGCATGCTTCCTAGCAAACCAGAGGCTTTGGATTCCACTGTTACCATGCCAAAAATGAGCAAGTTCCAAACTTTGGAAATTTTATTTACAGGAATCCAGGTTTTTAACTGGAAATGGGTGAAGATTGTGAACAGGAAGTAGAGGAGTCACATTGGCAAAAAATACACATCCTGAAGTACATTTAATTTTTTTTTTTAATTTTATTTTTTTATTTTTTTGGTTTTTCTCCGGTACCGGGAACCGAACTCACGACCTTGCGCTTGCCAGGCAGGCGCTTTGCCACTGAGCTAAATCCCCAGCCCCTACATTTAATTTTTTTGAACCATTCTGGCTGCTTCTAGCTGAAACAAAACAGTGCCTGTGGGATTTATTTGAGTTTTTAAGCTTGAAGTCCACTCATAGAACCCCAGCTCCTTTTTCACAGGGAGAAGCTGAGTAACGAAGCAGCCAGGATTACAGGCCACTCCACGACCCAGAGAAACAACTGCAATAGTATAAGAATAAGGTCCACCAATTTCCTGCAGATTTCTCATGGCTACAGCCCAAGCTAAATTTGAGAGAGGTCGTTCCCACACCTCAACGTTGTCTTCCTGAAAAACCAAGAAAAGAGGTATGACTGCTTGGTAGTCAGCAATAAGCTGCCTTGCTAGTATGACATTCAGTCTTGTCAGAACCATCAAGCACTTATAGGGAAAATTCAATTTATCCTGTAGCACATTTTGGAAATAACAGTTCTAGCAGGAAGCCTTATCACTACGGATTACAGCATCAAAGGACAAAAAACAAATTTTCTCAAAATATCAGTCCTATGCTCTTATGTAACAGATTTAGGCTTAAGACAAACTTGGTGCTTGGGCATAAAAGCCACTTTAAAATATACACCTAAAGCCACGCATGGTGGTGTAGGCTTGTAATCCCAGCGCTGAGAGGCTGAGGTAGGATCACAGGTTCAAGCCCAGCCTGGGCAATTTAGCCAGACTCTGTCTCAAACTAAAAAAAAAAAAAAAAAAATAAAAAAAAAAAAAAAAAAAAAAGTCAGGGGAAAACATCTCAGTGTTAAGGTCTTAGCTCTCTCCCCAGTACCGACAAAAACAACAAAACGCACTCAAGATAAACACTTGGATTACATGTAAACCAGAGGCAGGAGAACACGTTCCTAGCATATTTTCTCCCATTGAACATTACTTACTATACCTTTCTAAGGCGGTACCCCTGCTTGCCCAAGGGGTCTTGGTTGATGGCAATCACATCCTTATTCTGAAGTAGAGCTTTGGCTTGGGGGCTGATCTGTCGGAGGTCATTGGACATGAGTAAAGGAGCTGCCATGATAGCCCAGAGGGCCATCTGAGTTACTTGCTGATCCCAGCTGAGGCCAAAGTTACCAATCACTAACTAGGACAAAGAATGAAATAGTTCAAATGAGAGAAGATGAAACACTTTTAAATACCTGGATGACGATAGGAGCCGCTTTCTATAGGACCTTGCTCCATATACTCTCACAGAAAGTCTACTCCCAGGAACTTCACCTATATTTACCCTGAATGTGGAAGAGGAAATAGGTCTATTACACACTCTTTAAAAAAGAGGGCTCAGATTCTTACCATATCCGGGTCATTCCAACCCCCGGGTCCAGCAACATCAACAATTTTCTCCTGGTAAAAAGATGTCCAGTCCAAGATACGCTTTATACTTTGCCAAGAATCAGAAACATCATCAAAATTTCTCCAGTGATTGCAGTACTGTCGGATATTTGTGTAATTGGGCTGTGAAGACAGGACTCTTGTTTACTTTATAATACCCTTGTGAGATGAAAACGGTCTAATTTAAAGGAGGCCACTTGAAGGCTTTAGTTTACAGATTGAAAGTCTTCATGAGGAAGTCTAAATATTGTGCAGGAATTTAATTGTAAGAGATTTGCTTTCAGAAGTAGGCCGTATAATTTAAAATCCCTGAAGTGACAGTAATGCTGTTTATGCTGGAAATGGTATCTAGGTTTTGGCATTATGGAAGAATTTAATTTTCTTTACAGGTCACTGTATTTCCAAGCTTTTAAAAAAATGAACATGTACTACTTTTAAATAAAAAATAAATAAAATGATCTCTTTTTTTGTTTTGAGTCAGGATCTTGCTATATCGTTCAGGCTGCTCTTGAACTCACTATATAGCCCAAGCTGGCCTCAGACGCATAGTGATCCTTCTGTCTCAGTCTCCTAAGTGCTGAGACTGTAGGCGTGTGCCACTATGCCCAGCTAATAAAATGACCTTAAGTAAAAATAGCTGGAAAATTATACAGGACTCCATCAAACATGGTGAGATCTGACTATAATATTCATATGCATATGTATATAAATAAAGAATTGGTTAATGGAATGAATAAATGTTAACAGGTGGGTGGGGAATCTGAGGTTTGTATTGAGGACAAGGTGAGACTTTTCCAAAATTCAAGAAAATTACAGAGATCCAATCCATAAATAATTATTCAACACTTACCGTATGCTGGGGAAACAGGGATAAAGTCAGACAAGGTACCTGCCCTCATGAATTTATATTCTATAAATCAACAAATATTCTACATAATGCTAAGCTCTTAAAAAGGAAATTAAAAGGGTTAATGTGATAAAGAATGAATGGACAGACAGCTACTTTAAGAGAATATGGCATCTGGTCTGAGACTTAAGAGTTGGCCCTTTAAATATCTTGGGGGAAGAAGGTTCCCGCAGAAAACAAAAAGCAAGTGTAAAAGTGATAGTGGTGTTCAAGGG